ACTTCAGCAGTGCTGAATACGGGCACAAACCAAAGTCCCATTTGTATGTATTTCCACATACAAATGTGCCAGCACCAAAATACATCATTGTGCGGTTTAGAGCACATAAAGCGGAATGGCCTCAGCCCAGTGAAAACATACAGTTGCACATATCAAACACACATCTCAAACTCGGGGTCTGTGAAACGTCCTGTGGCTGAAAATGAATAAACTTTGTGAAGACAGCTAAGGGAACATGTCGTCTCATGGCCACTTTAACATGAACCTTTAAATCAACATGAACGTATTAATTCAGCTGTGCTTTATCTATAGATATGATAGCTGTCCATGTATATATGACTTATCAGTGAGTGTTTTCTTGTTATGAGCTCTTTACTATCATTAAGTACGACTCCCACATGACTGACTCTCTCTCCCCTGCGCCTGCTTTGTGTCGCTCTGTCACAAACTGACATATTTAGGCAAAGTCATGACTAATAGTGGCCGGCTGCATTAGCTGAGAGGGTGTTACAGCTTAAGACCAACACACGAGGCGAGAGGAATGAATGAATACGGAGAAACAGCTGGGAAACCGAGTTATAATTTATATGAAGTGTTAAGACAGCGTGAGTGGTGCAGTCCTCCCTGATGTTAAGTGCTCCGTAAATACGAAGACGTCATACAGAAACTTTGCAAAGAAGAAATACTGCAAAGATAAGTCATCTTCTGTTTAATTGTGCAAGGAAAGCAAAAACAAAGAGTCTGTTACTTTTAACTATTCATCTATGTGTAATTTGACCTTTAAATCAAACTGCTATTTCACTTCACTTCATTTAAATCCATGATAGAGGGCTATTTAACCCCCGAGATCAACTACCATGAGATACAACAACCTTAAAGATGCACACAACAGCTCAACTGCCGATACACAGATTGCAGGACATGATCCAAAGTTTGAATGTCTTCTATGTTATGAAGCCTGCTGGTTCAAAGTGCTCATGGACTTTCACACTTGTGCCACAGTCTCAACAGGCAGAGGTGAAACGTGACAGGCTTTTAAACTGACTGGTCAGGTTGCCCATACTGTCATCTCTGCTATCAAGACTTGTAATCATTTTTTATGGGGTGTTGGGCAAGGCTCCTTGATCAATTTCAAGACTTTTTAAGAACTCTTATAACAGGAATAACAGGAGTTTATACAGAAGTCATGCCACAACTATCTTTAGTATCGAATATGTTCAAACATCTATTCTGAATCAAAAGCATTTTTCATAGGGCAGAGGTTAGAAAGGGAAGAGGATAGTAATTTCAGATATAAGATAAGATAAGATACTCCTTTATCGGTCCCACAAGGGGAAATTCCCCTATTATTATTCCGATAACTTTTGAAGCTGGTAAGAAGCTACTTTGAATTTGACTTTATTTTTCAACATAAGCATTGTCTGAGTTCATCACTGTAAAAAAGGTAGTCTCTAGAGTCACATGTTCTTGTCTCTATCTGACTGATCACTGGCTCATGCTGGACTTTGACTACTGCATGTTGCATCAAGCCAACAATATGCATGTGTCCCTCTTTGAGAAAAAAAAATGTGTATCATATGTCTGTTCTTTTTCAGAGCTTGCACTTTCAACCCCAGGCTTCAACTTTAAAACCCACATTTTTGCAGACGAGTAACAAAAACCCTAAAAGGAAACTTTGAACCTGAACTTCCTCAGAGCACAATGGGGATGCAAAGCACCCCAAGACTGGCACTCACACACACACACACATATATACACTGCTAAATTAAGTCTTCACCTCCAGTTTGCCTGTGACACATCTTCATGACAGTAAACCCCAGTGCAGGGGGTGAGGCGGAAACATCCTAGAAGCGCACTTTCAGCAGCCTGGAGTGAGAAGATAAGCCAAAGTAAGTCCGCTAAAAGTGAAATATAGGAAGAGTTGACATGTAACCCGAGCATGCTTCTCTGGAGAGCGCCGCTGGATCACTGCCCCAGGACTACATCCAGCAAGGTGAATGGGAGAATCCTAATGAAGCTGTGAGGACTCAATCAATACCAGCTCACGGGGAGGGTGAGGGCGGGGGGTCTGCTGGGAGAAGAGAGGAGGGGAGGAGAGGAGGGGTGTGCAAGGGAAAGAAGGAAGCAGGCAAAGGTAAGATGTAGAAATAGAGGGAATGAGTAAAACAAGAAGAGGAGACAGGAGAAAAAATGACAGAAAGGAGGAAGGAGTGATACGAAAAACTAGGAAACTACAAAAGAAAGAAAGGTACAAACCAGAAAAAAACAAGTAAAGGAGGGATGGAGGAGTGAAAAAGAGGAAGCTGAGGAACGAAAGTGAGAGTAGAAATTAAAGTGGAAAGGAAAGGATGTTCACAGAGAGGATGGAGAGAGCGCAGAAAAAAGGAGTGAAGAGATATAAATTTATATATGCATAGGGAGAGAGATGAAGAAAGAGATTGCAGTGGAGAGAGGAGTGCAAGTCTCAATCGAAGACACTTAGAGAAAGTCCATTGATTGTGGTCACGGCCGGCTGGGCCCTCCTATTTGGTTAGTCATCTATTTCTCCTGTATGCTGAGATCAAGCTTTTCTCCTCCCTCTCCCCCTCCTCCTTTCTTTTATCCCTCCATCAGAGATGACTGGACCAACTAGACCTGCAACTTTCAATGGACAAACTTATAATTACTATTCCCAACTTTCTACAAGCAATTCCCAGGGGATCAGCGGGAGTCTGTGGGAGGTTAACGAATCAGTCAATGTGAGGAGTCTGATGGGAAGACACTTAAAAAAAAACATTGAGAAACACTCTGATACATGAGGTAGTACCTGCATTTTACTGGCATTCATCCATAGACTGAGTCAAACCTGGTGCAGCCTCTTGGTTTCTGAGTGAATGCCTGTGCACCTTCAACCTGCATGTTTTCAATCGGCCTGCAGGGGGAGTACCTGAGAAAAAAAGTTGCTTGTTCTTAATCCTCATTTGAACTTTCATTATCCCGTCCTACAACTTTTATTTAAGGGCATCTCAGCCTTACATTTCTTTATTTTAAAACTTTTCTGCGTTAATCTTGCTGCATGTTTGTGTATCAGTAAGGATAATACAGTATGTACATGAACTGTGTTATTATAAACCATGCTTTCCACAGTGCATTAGCACAGCTTGTGTCATGTTAACACCCTTTACTGCAGCATAAAGTGTCGATGAGAGATGATACGGCTAATACGTGTTTATGTTGTGCCAGACAGCTTGTCCCATGAAACTGAGAGTGTGTGCGTTTGTGTGTGTGTGTGAGAGAGAGACAGAGGGAGAGAGAGAGAGAGTGAGTGAGTATGAAGGACGTGAAAGTTCTCCATCCAAACTATGTCAGCTATTTAATTCTGTTCCTCTGAGAGCCAGGGCATCTGTCAGACAGAGACTTCAGCTGTCCTCTGCCTCTTAAGCTTTCCCATGAATCCCCGTCTGTGTGTCTTTGTACGCCCCTCGATCTGCTCGCTGTTGGGCAGTATCGCCTTACTGAGTGAGGCTTTACTCTGATGTGTTTTTCCTCTTTCAGGAAGGATTTTTGTATTTGACTTTCAGTGACTGCATACAGTCACTAACCCCTGTATCACCACTTCTTTAGAAGTGACAGTCTGAGGTTTGGCTTGCCTGCTGTTTGGGTGGCAGAGTTGATATCAGTTTCATCTCTGAACATGTAGAAACAGACAATCCCTTGAGCTTTCCAAAGAGAAAAATGATCTTTAGTTTTACAGTCATGTGACCTGTATATTAGATAGGGCTGAGGGGAAATATCTATTAAGAAACTACCATCATAGTAAAATGTTCACATTTTCTTTCAAATGAAATCTTTGAATCTGTACTCAAACTACTACAATCTCTGTCACTCACCCAATATTTACTGAGGCATATTTCATTCAAGTCTGAAGTGCATACATTGAGTGTAAATCATGTCATGCTCCCATTATGAGGACAACATGTGTGCAGTGTTAACTCCTGTGTGTGTTTGGACATGTATATTCAACATCACCTCCTTACACCCTTTATCACCCACAGTGTGTGTTCCTGTGTTAATGGTGTTATGTCTAATAAGAGAGGTTTGTTATGAAGGAGCTGTAAACTGTGGCAGGATGGGAGAAACTGTGAAGTACAAGCATGGGTGAGCACATTTGTTATTTTGGGTAAATACACTTAAGAGTGTGTGTGGCTTGTGATCAGTGACAGTTGAATGACTCACAATCGGGAGAGGACAGGGTCGAGGCACGTCTATACAGGGACGATGACTTCATTACCTCTTGAAAGATAGATGGAAAGATCTCTCCATTTCTTCCTCCACTCAGGGTAGAGTGTTCACCTCTCCAAGGAGAACACAGAGGAGGAACTATTGAATCACACTAATCATAACACAGCTTTTTTTTTGTCCTGACCTATGCTGGGGGCTCCACAGGGTGTGCTTTGTTTGTCGCGGACATCGATTAGCTCTCATTGTTTCGACAACCTTCCCACCTCTTTTAGCAGGGACAGGAAAAACAAAAAATGGATTTGTAATAATAATTCAAAACAGTGCTATAGATTTGTGCAGTAAAGCCAAGCTCACCAACAGAATTGGAACTTATTGATCTTATACCCATGGTGCTTCTCATTGGCATCAACAACAGAAAAGAGCCTCAGAATTTATTCCAAGCAATGAAACAAGCCAGGCAGAGCTGTGCTTTAATTTCACCTTTTCATTTCTGTAAACTCTATACAGCTGCTTAGGTGTTATTTTTTACTCTATAGTTTATTTCCAGCAAAAACACCAAAACTTTGTAGAACTCAGCATCCCAAAAGCTAACATTCCAGCACTCAACATTCAAGAACCCTGCATTCCAAACCCTAACATACTAACACTCAACACTCTCACACTCAGCATTTTAACACTCAACTGTGTAGAACCCAGCATTCCAAACCCTAACATTCAAACACCCAATATTTGAGAACCCAGCATTCCAAACCCTAACATTCAAACAACCAATATTTTAGAACCCAGCATTCCAAACCCCAACACCCCAAACTTAAACACTCTAGAACCCAGCATTCCAAACCCTAACATTCAAACAACCAACATTCTAGAACCCAGCATTCCAAACCCTAACATTCAAACATCCAATATTCTAGAACCCAGCGTTCCAAACCCTAACATTCAAACACCCAACATTCTGGAAACCAGCATTCCAAACCCCAACATCCCAAACTTAAACATTCTAGAACCCAGCGTTCCAAACCCTAACATTCAAACACCCAATATTTTAGAACCCAGCATTCCAAACCCTAACATTCAAACACCCAACATTCTGGAAACCAGCATTCCAAACCCCAACATCCCAAACTTAAACATTCTACAACCCAGCGTTCCAAACCCTAACATTCAAACACTCAACATTCTACAACCCAGCGTTCCAAACCCTAACATTCAAACACCCAATATTTTAGAACCCAGCATTCCAAACCCTAACATTCAAACACCCAACATTCTGGAACCCAGCATTCCAAACCCCAACATCCCAAACTTAAATATTCTAGAACCCAGCATTCCAAACCCTAACATTCAAACAACCGATATTTTAGAACCCAGCATTCCAAACCCTAACATTCAAACACCCAACATTCTGGAACCCAGCATTCCAAACCCCAACATCCCAAACTTAAACATTCTAGAACCCAGCATTGCAAACCCTAACATTCAAACACTCAACATTCTACAACCCAGCGTTCCAAACCCTAACATTCAAACACCCAATATTCTAGAACCCAGCATTCTACAACCCAGCGTTCCAAACCCTAACATTCAAACACCCAATATTTTAGAACCCAGCATTCCAAACCCTAACATTCAAACACCCAACATTCTGGAACCCTGCGTTCCAAACCCTAACATTCAAACACCCAATATTTTAGAACCCAGCATTCCAAACCCTAACATTCAAACACCCAACATTCTGGAAACCAGCATTCCAAACCCCAACATCCCAAACTTAAATATTCTAGAACCCAGCATTCCAAACCCTAACATTCAAACAACCAATATTTTAGAACCCAGCATTCCAAACCCTAACATTCAAACACCCAACATTCTGGAACCCAGCATTCCAAACCCCAACATCCCAAACTTAAACATTCTAGAACCCAGCATTGCAAACCCTAACATTCAAACACTCAACATTCTACAACCCAGCGTTCCAAACCCTAACATTCAAACACCCAATATTCTAGAACCCAGCATTCTACAACCCAGCGTTCCAAACCCTAACATTCAAACACCCAATATCTTAGAACCCAGCATTCCAAACCCTAACATTCAAACAACCAACATTCAAGAACCCTGCATTCCAAACCCTAACATTCAAACACCCAACATTCTAGAACCCAGCATTCCAAACCCTAACATTCAAACAACCAACATTCTAGAACCCAGCATTCCAAACTTAAACATTCAAACACCCAATATTCTAGAACCCAGCATTCCAAACTTAAACATTCTAACACTCAACATTCTCAATCTCACATTTTAACACTCAATTGTCTAGAACCTTGCATTCTAAACCCCAACATTCTAGAACCCTGCACTCCAGAGTCCAACCTTCAGGGATCAAACTTTTTAGAACCTGGAGTATTGAAGCCCAACATTTTGAAACTCAGCATCCCAGAACCCAATTTTCAGAACCCAGTATTCTAGAACCTAATAATTGGGAGCTTAGCATTCCAGAACATATATCTACATAAGGACAGGGCACACAGGACAACACACATGCAGATTAGGCATGGGATTATTTCTGCAAACTATTCAGGGCAGTGACTGTGGAAGGGACAAAGCTCTTGCTGAAGCATGCCCGCTTCCACCTCAGAGTCCTAAACCTTCAGCCTGAGGGCAGCAGGCAGAAGTGACTGTGGAGAGGGTGGTCTGAGTCTGTGGAGTGGGTGTACAGAAGTATGAGTTGAATGATGCTGGTGTATAACAGTAGGAAAAGTTTTGGGTTGGCAGACAGGGAACAGATCTTGCGGAGGATGTGGAATCTTTGCTGGGAACGTTTATGGAAATCGGTGACATGTTGTTCGAAAGTGAGTTTATTGTCAAGTGTGAGTTCGAGATATTTGAAGTTATCAACACGTTCGACTGCTTTGTTGTGTATGGTAGTGAGTGCCAGGTCCGGGGCGTGTGATTGTGTGTGTATGAGTAGTTGTTTTGTCTACATTTTGTCCACATTCAGCTCCAGAAAGTTGTCAGAGCACCACTTGAAGTGGGTGACATACTGGTGGTAAGAAGTTATGGAGTTAAGTTCCATCTGCACACAAATCTGTTCTGATGTTTCAGGAATGTCACTCAATGTCACCCTCAACATTTGCAGATACCTGAGCTGAGTGTATATTCAATGAGCTTGAAATGACCAATCCAGCAGCACATTGAAGAAGGAGTAAAAACACAAGGATTAAACTGAGGTACTTTGTCAGAGAAGCATCGTTTGGAGTTCAAGGTGAGGATGAGACAGCTGAAATTACCAAGCATGAAACAGAGTAAAGATGCTGCTGCTTTGTGAGTGAAACTCATTAACTCTGCTCTGTCTCTGCTGTGTTCGACCTGTCTGAAATAGTTTTGGGCTCCATTAACCTGCTGGTTTGATGGGAGGATATTACCGCTGAGATTTCTCACTTTCTTCTGTCTTTAATGTGACCTTGTGCTGATTTGTTCTCAAATCTCTTTCTGACTTCCTACATCGACACCATACACCACTGTGCACAGGAAAACTCCTTTTGGCCTGAAAAACTTAAGAAGACTGAAGATGTTTGACAGTAGAAGCATCATTATGTCTGCCTCTTTTGCCCTTTATTTGCAGCTCTGCTCTGATCACCTTTGCTTCAAGGCGTAAGTCTCGTCTTGATGCTGCTGTTTTTATCCTCCTCTCTCCACCCACAGCAGTACCATTGAATGAACTTTTGTTCTTCTGTGCTGTTGTTGTTAGAGTCATCTGTAGCAAGGTTGTTCTTGACAAAGGTGGGAGTTGTTCTGATGTGTTTAGAGGGCCACATTGTTGTTTAAAGTACCACAGAGCTTGAGGTGTCAGAGAGTCTTTGTTTTATATTTAGAACGTTTCAAAGAGTTCAGATGAGTCTAGATGTTTAAAGAGGTCTCCAATTCTGTGTAAAGCCAGAAGAGTTTAACCAAAGACACATGAAGCTGAGTGGGAGGTGTGGTGTGATCAGGAAGCGAGAAACAGATAATCATACGAATCAAGATCAACTTTGTGATTCCATCCAAAGACTTTGTGGTGCTGTATTTAGTTGCAGCCCTGCTATAGAGATGAAAGTATTCTATTTTACTGAAAAATGTATCTGGATGCCAGATAAGAAGCGACCTCCTCCAAAATCACCTTTATATACCTGGTGAAGAAAGCCTGTTTGTGCCCTTGAGTTGGACTTCTGCCGTCTGGAAAGACGGGTGCAAACTGATGTGCAATAATGTATTTTCAAAACAACACAAGCCCTATTATTTGTCTACCCCCTCTCTAAACAAATGCACTCTCAGCAGATGACTGTCTAATATGAGTCTGGTTCTGCTTGAGGTTTCTACCTGTTAAAGAAAGTTTCTCCTCTCCGCTGTGACTTGTGCTGAATGCTGCAAAATGTTCCACTCAGGTAGTTGGAGATGGGATGAAAGTGGGTCTGATCTTAGAAGGTGAGGCTCAATCAGATCTTATCTTCACATTGTGTCTTTGTAAACAGAGCCTAGTCCAGATCAGCTTTTTTTAAAATTAAATCCAAGGATAATACTTGTGAAATCGCGCTATATAAATTAAGATTGATTGATTGATTGATTGACAACATACCAGCTCCAACATACTTCACTTGTATTCAGTTGCCATGGTTTCCTGTACACAAACAAATAGAGCTGAACCAGAAAAACTGGGGATGTAGCAAGCACAAACACTGCACAGTGGAACAGACACACTAGAGAAAGGGTATAAAATGCTCAAAACCCTAATATTCCAACACCCAATATTCTAGAACCCTGCATTCCAAACCCAACCTTCAGGTACCAAACATTCAACAACACTCCACAAGTTTAAACCAGGCAAATGTACGTTGATTCTGCAGGTCCCCAAAAGCTGACAGATGTAAGTCTTCTGACTATGTTTTATGGCTTTTTTAGAATGGAAAGATATGTTTGCAAATTTTTTTAGGATTCAAGGCAGGCAAATTTTTAAAGCACCTGTCACTCAAAATACAAGTAATACAGTATATTCCTGTAACAGCCTCCTGGGGACCACATTGTTCATTTTATGACTTCTCTGCCCTGATAATGGCACAGATACAAATCCCCAGCATCTTTTTTTCAATAATCTATATTAATACTTTTCTCTCGATGCATCCAAATAACAAAGACACAACCACCTATCATCAGTGAGAAATCTAGTTTTTCTTCTGCTGCTGCTGCTGCTGCAAAAAAAAACATAAACCATAACCTCTGTATGTTAGACAGTTCAACCCTAAATCATCAGAGACAGTTTGGTTGTTAAGATGATGAAGTCAGTATGATTGTTCTTTGAGCCCATTTTGCTTCCATATGAATAACAGAGAAGTCCGGAAAAGGGACCAAGAAATCGGAGTCTAATCTGTATCTCACTCTGTCTGTCCGGTTGGATTTCTCTCCCTGCTTGTCACTGTTTGTCCCTGCCAGAATGAAATCAGGATGGTTGTATTGGCTTTCTGGCTCACTCCTCAGCTCTGAATGGGAAGGTCACCCACAGCGTGGACGAGAGAGATTCAATTTAAAATCTGTACACCTCACTGAGGAACAAGTGTGCATGTGCTTGTGTGTGTGTGATAGAAAGATACTGATATGCAACCTCCCGCATGACTTACAGCCATGCACAACCTCTTCAAATCCAGATTTGCACCTTTAATGCAGTCTGAACCCACCCTCATTTATGCAGGGCTGCAGAAAAAGAAGAAATAGCTATAGAAATCTTAACAAAGAAATGATGCATACTAACAAATGTACACACACCCTTCCACAGTGTACAGAGTGGCGCCGTCTGGAGCTCTGGGGGAACAGGTAGTGTCGCCCATGTTTTGGATGTTGAACCCTCCAGAGGCCAATACAGAGATTGTCCCACTCGACCAGGAACCTGCCCAGAAAGACAGGAAGTGGAACCCTTCCACCTGATACCGCAGTGCAGTAGAGCCTCAGGGGAGAAACTTTTCAGCATGACGCTTGTGATAGATTTGCTGCTTTCCCCAAAACGTGTTTACCTAGGCACACACAGCCGCCAAGCAGCAGGCTGCTGTTCTTACAATAAAGGCAAACAAGGCTCAGTGCAGCAGAGGCTGTACAGCTAATAAGGCCATGCTTCAGGAGAAAAGTTGCAACAGAAATACCGTAAAGGCAACCGGGGAGTGGAGGTGGGAGGCTTTGGAGTCATTACTCATTGTTGTATGTTGTCAAATAAGATTAACCCTTTCATCTGTTCAAGCCAAGCGTCAATGGAGCAGTTCTCACGTCGGTGACAGCCTGGCTCCTTCTCCTTTCTTCTCTATTTTTCTTTGATGCAGTTCCAGTTCAGCAAACAAACTCACCGTGTCCTTTCATCAGGCAGCAGTGTACCATGAAAAATGACTGGTGCGGCCCACTCTGCAGCAGGCTGGTGCACATTCAACACCCTGGGTCAGAGACTAACCCAAGCCCTCTGTCACAGGTCACAACCACCAAACCCTCCTGTGAAAGATGTCAGTCAAAGAGGTAGTGAAACATGTACTAGCAGCACCGCATGCCAAAGTGTCATCCCACGAATAAACCAGGTTAATACTTGAGTGTTGCTATAGATTAATTTAAGAATGAGTTTCATGCAGGTGTGCCGAGACATTTACTCATGCAAACAGAATCAGTATCTTGTTCATGTAAGATAATATCCTGTGCACACAAGATAATATCCTCCAAATAGAAATGCCCTTGAAAAAATTCCTATTTTCCACATGATTTCTAGTGTGCATGATGTTTTATCTATACCCTGCACAATTTCTTGTTCATACATGCTTATTATTTTTGTTTCATGATAGTTTTTGTGAGCAGAAAATATTTCCTTCTAAGCAGACTTCAAAAGAATTTGCATTTTGGGGCTTAAGGGCCACCGTAAATTCCTTATGATGTTGTTAGATTAAAAACAGACCACCCAGAACTGTCGACTCTCTCTGAGTCCACTCAAATATCCTCTGTAAATAATAGTCCTGATGCCTGAGTTTAAGTGATGAATTCTTATCTGTATTCTGAATAATTTTCACAATAACTTCCAAAGAAAACCTTTGACTGTTCAGAATTGTGGAACACTGACATCTTAAAACAACAGTAGATAATCTCTGCTGTCAGCAGCGCCACATGTCATAAATCTTTGTGTGATTTGGATAAAGTGACCGCTCCATATCAGAGCCATCTACACTAAAGCTCAACACCCCATTTTCTTGCCATCTATCTACATCCTTCCATCCACCACACCACATTTACTCTCCTCTCTCCATCTTG